AAAATGACTTCAAACTTTTGAATGGTGTACTGCATTTTTTTCAGATATGCTTTTGAGCTAGTATTATAACTAAATTCATTGTGATTCATAGGACAGCTGCAGCTGCGTTAGCTACAGTGGCATAATTATATATAATTACAACAGCAAAATGTCTGCAGGCATTTACGTGTTTTTGCAGGTAAAATCCAACCAGGGAAACTGATAAACGTCATAAGCATCTTGATTTAACTCTTCACTACAAGAGAATGGGCAGCAGTGATAATATTTAACAACTTGCAGAATTGCAGAAGAAAAATAACATTGGTTTACTATGGTTAATTTTAGACATTTAGATATTTTAATTTCTGTTTATAAATGAGCAGCTTTCGTTTTCCATTGAATCTGTTCATTCAAAAGTGCAGACTTTCACTGTTTGTGATCATAGCCTCTGCTGTTTGTTTTTTTCTTATGCTCTCACATCACAAGAGTGGGAAGACATATTGTGTAACACTATGACGATCAACAAACAGTTCCTAGCATGCTATTAGTGAAAGACATTTTCACGATGTGGTATCCCACCCTCCTCCTCTGACCACTGCTGTCTGTCTGAAACCACAACGCCATGGTCATTGTCCAAATGAAATACACTGGCTCACCTCAGGCCAGACCACATTTCACACCAGCAGAGCTGACAACACTCTGGCTCTCTCTATGGGTAATGGCTTGTATCAACAACAGTCTAGTTTGACACAGTGAAACACTGAACTCTGAGCTCCCTTAAACACCTCTGACATACAGTGCTTCATTTAATAACATCATTCTTCAGCTTTTTAGTGTATTACAGCGATGATTGTGCATTGCTGACAGACAGTTGAAGTGTTGAGGTGCTGCAGGGTATATGATTGTTCTTTTGAATAAAATGAATAATTAAATTGGCTGCATATTTTTGTATTATTTAAAAAATGAAAAACAAGCAAATATAATATACAGCCATAACAAAACACGAATAAACAAATACAGTTTTCTTGTATGAAAAAAAAGCATTTCAAAAGTATTGCTGCCATCTATTGGTGTAAACAGAGATCTACATCTTACGGATTTGAATGACAAATCAGGCCTTCCATATGCCCCACCCACCCTCTTCAAACCTCTCATCCAATGATTTTCAAAACATGCATCCATTTTACTTTGTATCAGAGCATTTAGTAGGAGTTTTACAAGCTTTCATAATTATTAAATATGTTTTGTCGTCTTTATTACATAAGTGAATTATTTTTATTTGCTTTGATAGATTTTGTAAAGAGAATACAGACTGTGTACTTATTGAGGGATGGTCCAGCTGCAGTGAGGCCAGTATGAGTGTAACCAATCAAACTGAAGAAGACATGAAGAAGACTTTATACATGATCATAGGTATTAATGTATTTATTTTAAAATAAATGTGTTTTAGTCTTCTGTGTCTGAAGTGACTTCCACCTGGAAGAATAGTAAAAAAAAAACTTTATTTTAGTTTTTATTTTAGTATGAAAGCAAAATGTTGTAATGGTGAAAATTAGTTGTATGATTGTGTTATTGTTATTATATAAATAATTTACTCCTTACATTATTAGAGTAGGTGGGGAGGTGTATGTTTCTTGTACAACCAGTCTGTAGTTTGGTCTTGGTTTCATTTCTTATAAGTATTTAACACAGATTCTTTTACTCTAGTGTAGTCTGTTTTATCAATACAAGTTGAAGCTGCAAGCATGTCTTTCCAAGGCTTTGCCAACATGGGAACACAAGAGAAAAAAAAAAAAAAAAGGATGAGAATTCCTTCAGTGAGTGTCTCTAAGCTTTGTTTTCAGGTTATTATGTGATTTAAGTATTTTATGTGCTAATTTTCTTTTCTTTCTTTACAAGTTTGTAGTTCGATTGGACCTGTTTCTTCTTTTGTTGGAAATGGTGCCACAGGTGAGTAATGTACTAAACTAGTGCAAAAACTGCAAATAGAAATATAAGAAGTAGCCAACAAAAAGACTAATCAAGAAGCAAATAAAGCATATGTGTTACACTAAGGATGTTTTCTCCCCATTATGTCCACACATGCAAGATAGTGCATAGTTGAAATCCTGCTTAAATCCTGCTAAAATAAACAAATTAAAATGCACTCTGTTTTAACAGTGATTTTGAAGTATTGGCACAGTACCATGGTACAGTGATGGTATCATATAAAAATTATATCTATACTTATCAGGAAAATTTAAACACAACTCACCACAATGTGTCTGTCCGTTTGGTAATTGGACATAAACGTACTCTCCAAAAAGTTACTGAAGTAAATGTAACATAGTAAATGTAGAGCATTACTACCCACCTCTGGGAGGTGGGAAGTGGCTCTGTATTTGCTCTATAAGCACAGACGACCCTTTGTGAATAGAAAGTACTCTGGAATGTAAAAAAAAAAAAAAACATTGTTAAATATTGTCTTATTAATTTAGGTGCCTGTTTTGTTTATGTTCATGTTTTCATATCTTTTAATTCATTGATTCATTGTCTTGTTGCCTTATTTTCATTTTCACCTTTTCACTGGTTGTTGTAGTCATGTGTTTCCCCATGTCCATGTATTTAAGCCCTCACGTTTGTCATGTTTGTTGTGTATTGTTTATGAGTCTTTGTCAAGGTCAAGGTCAAGGTCATGTTTATGTTCAGGTTTTTGTTCATGTTATTCATGTTCATGTTATGTTCAAGTCAAGTCATCATCATGTTTTAGCTTTGTATTTGTTTAACTGCATATATAATTTATAATATTATATATAATTATGCCACTGTAGCTAATGCAGCTGCAGCTGTCCTATGAATCACAATGAATTTAGTTATAATACCAGCTCAGAAGCATATCTGAAAAAAATGCAGTACACCATTCAAAATAAACTGCACTTGGTGTTGCATAGACACGCCCCTTACTGCTGATTGGCAACAAGTTTGTTTGGTACTAGGCCCGACTCAGTTTTCTAAAACGTTTTTGAAAAAATACATACCCCACCTTTAAGTCAACTAAATAAGACATAGAGTAAAAAATATTGAACATTATTCAGATTTTAGCATATTTAAGTGAAATATATTAAATTAAGTAAATTCATCAGTATTTTACAGACATGTTTATTTTTCCTCCCCAAGCTGTTTGTTACAGTATGTTGCTTCTTCTTCTTTTGGTAAGCCATATCATCATCCTTATCATAATTTATGATTTGGAATTATCATCAGTTTGGTTTCAGTTGAAGTTCAGTTGGCTGCTCTGTGTCTTTGTCTAAATTGACTTTGTCCTATTTCTTTTATTTTTCAGTTAAAGGAGGAGCATGTGCAGCTTTGGGTATGTCATGAATATTTTTCAATCCATTAATCTGACCAAATAAATAAAATTTCTTACCTCGAACATTGTTTCTTTGTTGAAATGTTAGGTGACACTGCAAAAGATGCAACATCCTTTATCCTGCAACTCCACATCCAGTGGTCAGAAGTGATTAGACGGGAAACCAGTGTTGGAGATTCAGCAGCATTTACATGTTCACGCTATGAAAGCATGCTAAGTGAAAATGCATTGATCTCTTTTGCCACCGTCTGTGATAAGAACCTCAATAAAGACTCATTCAACTAGACATAATGTATTTTAGATTGTCTTGCATTTTATGAACATAAAACTGAAGACAAATAATTTAGTATTTAAGTTGAACCATGTACCATCATTGACAAAATCACAAATAGGCCTAAGACCAGCAAAGAACAGCAGAAAATGCCCTAATGATGACATACACGATATACACTCTTAAAAATAAAGGGTCTTTACTGGCATCAATGGTTCCACAAAGAACCTTGGAGCCTTTTCATTCCACAAAAGGTTCTTTAGATTATCAAAATGTTCTTCACACTAAGAAAAACGGGTTCTTTTAAGAACTGAAAGGTTCTTTGGGGAACCAGAACTGGTTCTTCTAATGGCATCACTGTGAAAACTGTTAAAACCCCTTTTGGAACCTTTATTTTTTTTTAAGAGTGTACATGCACAAAGATCAACAAGAGCGCAAACTGACATTGAGAGAGTAATAGTTTAATAATAAATATTAATAAATATCTCTCCAGCTTTTGAATAACTTAACCACTGTGTGGCAGCAATATCACATAAAACCTTTCAACAATCCGTTCCCTTTCTGTCAGTCCATTGAATTAAAAAGATTTTATTTAAAAAAAAGTTTGAAACAGAAACATGAACAGCCTAAACAAAATAGTGTTCATAACTTCAAGCCAGGACATTCAAATTTGATTGAAAAGTGTACTTGGAAACGCATTCAAATCAAGTTTTTATATAGGCTAATGTATACGTAATGTGAATTCCGTGTGTAATAGTTTTAACGGAATAAAACGGGTCTGTCAGAAGCTCGTGAGTAGTGTTGTACAATGCAACTGTAAGCTCTTAATTGCACACGTCGCTGGCCAGGGGAGGGTACAGATGTGCATCTGTGTTTTGGATCAGTGCCGGGGATCTGACAGTGAGATCTGGCAGTAATGAAGGCCTGCAGCATCTGGCCAGCTGTGAATGGCTGAATGGTTAAGATGTGAGGTGTGTCCTCTCCCGCGGGACCTGTGAGACTGACGCCGGATTGGATGAGCTGCTGGAGGAGGGCTGGGCCTATGGAAGGCCTGACCTGAGCCGGAGGAGAGCGGAAGAACGAGACAAAGGAGGAGGGTGGCTTCTCTCGTTCCCACCACACCCTGCCAAACCGAGTCCCCACAAACACAATGTTTCACTGAAGACTGAGTGTGTGTTTTACAGTGGAAGAGACTCACATCTACGAAATGTTGTACGGAGTTAAGGCAGTCAGCGGTATAAAAACACATCTTAAACTAGTTTAAGTTTAAGGTTTTGTATTGCTGGCCAGGCTGCCTGGGAGACCATATTAAACCAGTTTAGGATGGTTTAAGCTGTTTTTTTCCCAGCAGTGATTTCATCAGAATTTCAGTATTTCATGCTATAAACAAATAAGATCTTGTACTTTTAATTGACTTTAATAGAGTTCACTGGAACATGTTAGACAATCAGCTTTTTCACGTCACTATTAAGACTCCAACATCCACCCTTCTGTCTGAAGTGTGAGGGGAATTTTGAGCTTGAATATTTGAGCTCTCTGTCACAGACAAGCAAGTAACATGTAGCTACCTTTTCTATGTTAAGAGGCACAACCAAATATGATATATTCTTAACACAGAAAATCACAAAACAAGGACGCTTTTACTAAAATCCCACTGACAGACTCTAGGTAAAACGTGGTTTAATTATTTAAAAACATGTCCAATCAAAGTAGGAGGTGAAGTATAAAATTATAAAATAGTTCACAGGCTCTTAAAATGGTTGGTCTATAAAAAAAGAGAGAACAATCTGCAGACATAGGCTTGAAAATGTTTTCTCAATATAAGACTCATCCTTCGTAATCAATTACGGAAATAATTATAAAACACAAACTAATGCCAATCTCTTTCATGTGACTACATTGATACAGTAATTATATTATAAGCAAATTACAATGCAGATCTGTTTGAGGGGCACAGTAAAATTAAAATTAACAATGCAAGTGGACATTACAATCTATATAAATCTCCATTTTCTGAAATTCCCTTCCCTCTTAAATGTTTACTTCTCAGAGACACCTGCATGTCATTAACATACATAAATTAACAGTTATTTAGTAAGCTGCCTATTGAAATGTGTGGCTTTCAGTCGGCTTTGTTTTGTCATGCATTCAGATTGATTCATTTATGCCTAATTCCTAAATAGCTGTCATAATAAATTTAAAAAGTCAATCGTTATGACTTGTGTCAAAATAGAAATGAAATCACAAAGACATTATTCTAATAGTCAGCTAAACAGCTCTTGTCACTTAACTAACATCAAAAATCTACATTAAAACATGGGTTAAAGATTTCTTACAGTGCATAAAGTGGACACTCAAATGAGTTTGTGGTTCTGCATTGTTGTTTTGTACATCTGGTTATGTACACAAATGAATCTTTTTTCCATTGCCATTTCACATTTCATTGGATTATGTATTTACATCCTGAAGACAACAAAATGTATATGTGCAATTTGGAGATAATAATGCTGTGAAATATCTGTAATGCACATTAGCTGTATGTTAATGATAAATATACATTTCTAACCAACAATTATTTCACTGAAGTACAGTAACATTTTCCAGTCAGACATCACCCCCAGAACAAATGCTCATCCTCCATCCTGGTTTAGTCAATCTTGGAGACGGCCAGGTGCACATTCACTGGGGAGCGTTGAGTCAGGACATTATCCCGGGGTGGGATACCATCTCGGATGAAGAACAAACAGAGCAGAAGAAGGAATAAGCATAAAATATTCTTGCACCTGGACATCTAGGACCTCCTGTCTCCATTTTTAGTCTTGAGAACTACTAGGACCACCATAACAGGGATTAGGCATATGGGGGTCATGACCAGGGCAAGGATGATGCTGGGAGGGGGGTCTCTCAGTGCCTCTGTGGGGCATTCTTGAAAATAGGTGGTGTGGATTTTCACAAATGTATGTTCAACCAACTGATTCGGCCAGGGAAGCAACAGACAGTCAGCAACAGACTCAGTACACACAGTGAAATTGTTGTATGCACTGCCAGAGAAACAGATGGAGAAAGAGAGTCACCAACTGCTATCAAACACATCTAGTATTATATGGCATTTGAAAATGAATCCTTAGAATGTACCTTTTTACTTTTTCCAATGAACACCAGTCGGTACTGTTCATGAACCCCATAGCAACATCAAAATTATATTGACACAATTGCACCAGCAAACCATAGCATTGTTGAGTTCTCAAGAAACTGTTCACACAAAATGAACAGTATGTGTCACAGATGCTCTTGTTACCACAGCCTATGATGTAAACAAAATGAAATAAATAATTAACTTTGATGTAAGCTGATGTGAATCATCCTGTCATGCATAATGGAGTTTTCTGTTTATCTTAAGTGTCACAGTCAAGCTGATGCCTGCAGTAATTATCTTAGTTCATTAACATAAACTTTCTTATGATAACAAATGTACATACCAAATGTTCCTCCATCTCCACAGCCAGGATCTGAAAAATATAAGTACTGTAAATAAATACAAACATAAACATATGCACACATATGTAAATATAATTAGGCAAAATGTGCACATGATGTGTCCAAACATGTTGCAATGAAATGCAACCCTCTGCCTTTGGTTATTAAAAATAATAACAAACATAACTTGCTTCAGTAAAAAAAATAAAAATTAAAAAAAATTAAAAAAAAAGGACAAAAAACGACGACTTATAGCATTCATCCTATTAGATCGTTTGTGACTATGTTGGTCATCTGCATCCTTCAAAGCATTTGTCATGCACTGTATACAGTGTCTAACTCAGGTTAAATGAGAGCTGAAGTTTTCTATCGACGCACACACACACACAACTTACCACAGATAACAGACAGAAAGACGCCTAAGAAGCTGAACGATACCCTCATATCAGAGCAAACGAGCGCTGGCGAGCTGGTCTCAACCCGCCGCTGAATGTGTCTGAACTTTTACACCGAAGAACGCGAGGCATAACAGGAAACGCGACGGGTGGAAGCGTGATGCGCCGTCACCACATGTGCAATCACGGTTACCAGATGTTCAGAAAGCTGCTGACCGAGAACGCTTTAATTTTCCCACGTAATAATGCTCCACCTCTGGCCGCCTTTCTCTCTCTCACTCACTCACTCACTCTCTCTCTTTTCCAGTCAGTCTTCAACTGAAAAAAGAAAAAAACTAGACCGATCAGTGACTTAAATATTAAAATATAAAACAAACACGTTTAAAAAGTCTATTCAGCGATAAATGTGCTAATTTATGTATTTGTTTACTTTAAATACCATTAATTATAAAACTCATGGGTAACGCTTTAGATTACAACCCGCAATGTACTGCGCAAGTAAACAGAATTTACAGCGTAATTTTTTTGTAATTACAGTGTACCTATTCAGTACCTCTGTGTAGGTATAAGGTAACAATATGCGAAGTTTGGGGAATAATAATCTGTAAAATTACAAATTATTTCTACTGTAAGTATTTTGAAAAAGGGGTACCTATTCTAATATTACGGGGTATGTATGACTTAACAATCTTATATTTGCAAGCAGCTTAAGACGGGAACATGTGTGGAAAATAGGAGAAAACTAATCGAAGCGCAGACGAGGGACAACTTTGAAACTGTGGAGTGTGTTCCTTTAAAACTGCAGCAGTGAATGTGGTGAGTGCGGACTGGAAACAGCTGGAATGGTGCATGAGACGAGTCTATCCGTGTTTGCGGCGCTCATGACAGGAATATGTGTAGAAAATACAAGAAAACGAATCGACACGAAGAAGGAGAGAGATTTTTGAAACTGACTGGAATGTTAGTGGAGGGTTTTGTCCGAGTATGTTCTCACAACATTGAGCACCGACTGATGAGCGGTAAAACCGGGAACTGAACTGAGAGATTAACATGCTGGGACGCGGGAAGTAGGGGTGCTGAGGGGGCTGCAGCACCCCCTGTTTTCACATGATTGCAAATGCAACGCCAAGTTTGTTCATTTAAATTTATTCAGTTTTAGTTTACTTACGCAGTTCTTTGCAGGTTGCATATCTGGTTGTTACCCCCTTATTACCCAAACGTAACACATTGTTCCCTTATACCTACACGTATGTTCTTTATAGGTACACTATAATTACAGAAACGTACACTGTAAATTCAGTATACTTAGTTCTTTGCGGGTTGTAATCTAAAGCGTTACCAACTCATGTTTATCTTTAACTCTACAACCTAAGTTTACTTATGTCTTACAGTAAGCCTTATTCACACTACATCGTAACGTAGCTCTTGGTTAATTTAGAGTTGATGAAAGTATCAACTTGCGTTCCGACTGATTCATAAGTGTTTCTGATAAAGAACCACTTCATATTAGTTCAGGAATAGAGACCACATGGGTCGTGCTGTGTGGTTTTGATTCACTTAAACAAACCGAATAAGAGTCATTAGTTTGGGGCTTCGAGCTCACTTGTAGCGTGCTATATTTTTTCAACGTACAATTTGATTCATTTAAAAGAACCGATTCATAAGAGTCATTCGTTCGGAAATCGGATCTGTTACTGTAAGTTTGCACTATCGATTTACACGACAACAATGTAGCCTACTAAAAGCAGAAAAGTTTATCTTTACATTTTTGAAGGTTTCGCATACAGACAACAACATTGTCAAACTGATCAATGAAAATAACTAAAACACTGCATTATTCATGCCAGGCCAATAGTTGGCGATGTAATTTTGTACAGAAACATCAAAGAAGCACATAGTCTACCTAGTGAACATGTAATGTGCATGCACATGGCCATTTTCAGAAATTTTGCAGTTTACACAGAGATGACAATGGCATTGTTTTCAAAAACTTTTTTTTCTTTTTTCATTTTCAAATGTTTGCAATTTCATGCCCCCAAAGGGGGTCATGTAGGCCCTCTTTACAAGTTGTGTAAGCACCCCCTTGGGACGCAAATGTACTGTGATGTCATGTACATGCATATTGCGTGTTCAGTCTGTATGCATGTGAGTACTTGAAAACCATAATACAGAATTTTTTGTCGTTTTCGTGTGAATGGGGGTCATTTTGACATTTGTCATCTATATGCAAAACTTTTCAAAAATGCAAAGGAAAAACTTATCTGTTTTTAGTACATTGTTGTCGTGTAAACATACCCTTAGTAGTGGTGTTGTGATGAGTAGTAGTGGAAATGTCAGATTATTTTTGTAGTACAAAGAATGCATGTTCGAGAAAAGTTTCACAAGCTTCACAAAAGTCCTTTGGTATTTTTGTATGAATGGAACTGTTTCTGCATAAGAACCAGTTCTCAGTTCCAGTCCTGACTCTTGAAATTGTAAAGCACTGTTGTGTTTAAAGATTGCTGTTTCCCTGAGGCGTCGATCTTTTCTGGGCTGAGCACACCCAGGCCAGATGCACATCTGCAAATGGGTCTTCCCCTTTAGAAAACACTCAATTTCTCTCAGGTTGATTCCTCGTCGGCTCAGTGGTTCTGATTTATTTGCGTTTTTCGCATCTGTTTCCAAACAGGAAACATAAGTGAACATTTAGGGGCAGAGCAGGGCGGCTTGATGGAACGGACACTTTTAAGAATAACTGGGTCATATTAAACAGATCGAGTTCGGGAAACGATATAATCAGAGTTTGCCATCTGTGCTCGAAGGGCTGCACTTTTGGTTTGAGCCCAGCTGTGATTGAAACAAACTCTCAGCTCACTCACTTCAAAGGAAGAGAAAGAAGTGAATCCAGGGCCGAGGGAGGGCTGGAACAGTTTATGTAACACTTTTGGGCTTGTGGATCTCATGTTGACCATGTGAGACTGTCTTCAGCCAGTACCAATGGATTAATTCTATACAAAAAAGCATTTAGTGTAGTATTCATGTTTTAAAAGTTTTTGATTTTACTTTTTTTTTTTCAAATATATATATACAGTGGGTACGGAAAGTATTCAGACCCCCTTCAATTTTTCACTCTTTGTTATATTGCAGCCATTTGCTAAAATCATTTAAGTTAATTTTTTTTCCTCATTAATGTACACACAGCACCCCATATTGACAGAAAAACACAGAATTGTTGACATTTTTGCAGATTTATTAAAAAAGAAAAACTGAAATATCACATGGTCCTAAGTATTCAGACCCTTTGCTCAGTATTTAGTAGAAGCACCCTTTTGATCTAATACAGCCATGAGTCTTTTTGGGAAAGATGCAACAAGTCTTTCACACCTGGATTTGGGGATCCTCCGCCATTCCTCCTTGCAGATCCTCTCCAGTTCTGTCAGGTGGGATGGTAAACGTTGGTGGACAGCCACTTTTAGGTCTCTCCAGAGATGCTCAATTGGGTTTAAGTCAGGGCTCTGGCTGGGCCATTCAAGAACAGTCACAGAGTTGTTGTGAAGCCACTCCTTCGTTATTTTAGCTGTGTGCTTAGGGTCATTGTCTTGTTGGAAGGTAAACCTTCGGCCCAGTCTGAGGTCCTGAGCACTCTGGAGAAGGTTTTCGTCCAGAATATCCCTGTACTTGGCCGCATTTGTATATATATATATATATATATATATATATAATAATTTTTTTGTGTGTGTGTTAATCTCAATATTTAAAGATGAGTTTCAGAACTCAAAACATCCTATAGCCTAATAGACCTCAGTCAGGTTAGGTTCTTTCGCACTGGAGGAACCTTTCCATAGTTCCTAGAACTGTTGGCGGATGTTTCCGCTTTTTGGTGTGTTCGCACCACAGGAACTAGGAATGGTTTTAGTTCTAGGAACTCTGTTTGAGGGAACTAAATTAGCTCCTACTTCAGAGTAGGGTCTAAAACAGTTCTATAGGAACTATCAGTGACGCAGTGTACACTGATTGGCCAAACGCATATGAAACATACAGCGCCTTGCTTTTTTTTTAACATTTTGTTATGTTGCTGCCTTATGACAAACTTCTTTAAATTACTTTTTTTCCACATCAATCTACACTCCATACACCATACTGACAAAGCAAAAACAGAATTGTCACAACTTTTAAATTTATT